AGCTGTTTCTATTCTCAGCTATGATATATTGGTGTAGAAACCAAACATTTCTTCACATACTAAAAATCATCTCATCAACACACATGATCATTGTTTCAATGTAAGGTGAATCCTGAAGCTAATTGTTCGTGAGGTAATCCATGTTAGTTCTAGTTTGTAAACCATTTTCTTTGATCCTTTATGGGGTCAATGTTGATTATAACATTCAAATCTCATGGTCAGCATCTGTGCACATGTGAATTTACTTTGTTGTCCTAATTAATCCCCAAAATACTTTTTGAAGATTTATGCTTTTCTATTTCAGTGAAAAGATTAGATTCACGTACCATGGAACCTTGATGTCAAATACATTCATGTGTATTTACTAGCAGTCTAGCACACTTTTTTTTAAAGGTAATCAAATATTTTATTAATCAAAGGATAATACACAAGAAGTGTATTATCAATTTAAACCAGAAAAGAACAATATGATATTGGGCAGCCCGTCTATATGCCTAGTAGTCGCAACACTAAACCAATTATACAATGTCAAATAAAACAAGATATTACATAGCTTTATCCACCCCTTAGTCCCAAACTTCTCAAACTGTGAACCCAAAAACCAAAAAGCAAAGCAAAAGAAAAATAAGAGATCAGCATGGCATTTCAATGTCATGAAGCCTTTACAAACCAAATTAAAGCTTATTTCAAAATAGGTAGCTACCCCAAAGACAAATAAGCCAGTAGTGTCAACAAAAAGAAAAGGTCAGTAATGATAGAATGTTAAGGGCCAAAAAGTAGTGCTTACATTGTCCAATTGTTGTATTGGATGTCTTTGAAGAGTAACCTAAGCTCATGCATTTCCGAATGTCATCTGGATTCATACCACCACCATCATCTGCACAAATATTAGAATTTATCAACTACTTTGCATAACACTAACACAAGTTCTGGAATGCATAATACGACATGAAGTGAAGACAAAAATTACTACACCTTGGAAAAGTAAGGCAGGAGAGTTATCCTTCACGTTATAAATTCTATCAACCTTCGCAAAAGTCGCTCCACTGCGTATCTGGTTTACAGGCACATAGAATCATGCATGCATGAACTTTTGATGTAAAATTAGTTTACATGATCAATGAATTGACTTTTCAATTCGAAAAGTATCATCATTGAGTTGAACCACCAGGAAAACAAATCATGTTCTGTTATGTTTTCCATTTTCCCCTTCTATAAAATTAGTCCCAGTTTGCCAAATAATAACATAAAGCAGATACACTATAGATTCTATTATACTGAAATGGCTTAAACATGCTTAGAAATATTAATGCACTAGCTAAGTTCAGCAAAATGATTAATATTTCAAGACAAACCAGATGCATATATATGCCGTAACCTAGTCAAATTAATGCTCCACCTTCCAGTATTTGGAAGAAAGCCAACCGATTAAGACAAGCTAGACAGATTTTGGGAAGTCTATCCTATCTATAATGCATCAGAGCATCTAATGAATTCTCATTTTATAAGAACTACAAATGCTGGCACATATGTACTTCGAAATTCAGCAAATCTGATTTACCATCCACAATACAACAAGTCAACACAACACAACAAAACATAAACTAAGACTTGTTTCGATAAGAATCTCATCCACATTAGATGAGAAAAATTATACTTGTGTCCAGTATAGGATCTTGCCCTCTGTTGAAGCTATATAAGCTTAGTAACAAAATTTCATAAAATATAAGAGGACCTTCTCATTATATAATTTATCAACAATCATTTTTTATGCACCATATATCGGAAAGAAAGTTATTACAAACGACAAAAAAAAAATGGTAATTACCTCATCCACAGCATTATCCAAGAGCTCAGCTATAGCTGCAACAAATGATTAACGAGTCAGAACTTGCAACACAAACCTGATGGCATCATGTGATTCTCTTTCTTTCTTTTTATTTATTCCCTATGCTGATATGCCAAATATTGATTAACTTATACTCGTGTAAATCATAAAATTAGCTTAAGACTTGGCAGAGAGGATGCATGAAACATTATTTTCTGTTCAATTATACTCCAATTTCGATAATGCAGGCAGATAATCCTAATGAAACCAACTCAATTCAATTATTCTCATACTTGAACAATAAGAACAAGCTTAGAGCAGTAATATTACCCCCAAAGGCCCATTTATGAGAAGTCGCATTTGAATGCAGAAACTTCGGGTGAACACGTGCATGCTCCAAATCACCTGCAGTTACAAAATCCAAAAACCCAGAAAGGAAATAACTAAAAATTTTACATACCCTAATACTCAGAATAAAATTTAAAAAAATGAACCCACCTTGAAATAAAGTAGATTTAGAAGGGCCAATTTCATAAGCGCCAGCTTTCCAGAAACTTCTGGATTGGTTATCAATTGGGTCGGCAGGTTGACCATTCGATGGTTTGCTTTGTATAGTTGCGTTATTTGATGGTTTGTTGACATTTTTTGAAAATTCTGCGACGGCGGCGCCTTCATCGTCGCTGCTATCAAGGTCGACTACCTCGGCGGTGATGGGAATCTTCTTCTGTTGTTTAGGTAGCATTTATTACAGTTGTTGGAACAGAGGTTGTGTGAGGGTTTCTACAATCAATGATCGTGCACTGGAAGTTGAAGAGGTGAAGTACAACTGGTAAAGAGGTCATCAAATTTTTCGTTTTAATGCTCAAACGTAAGAATTGCGACCCCAAGGTGCTGTCCCAAACTTTGCCTTCTTCACCGTCAAATATACTCAACAATACACGTACAATTAGTAAAGGATTTATTTGAGCCCCCCCTTTTTTTTTTGTAGGAAAATATGTTTGAACCCTAGTTTTTTGCCCAAAAAAAAAAAAAAA